AATATAACTGAATTACAGGAAGTTCCAGTGATTCGCCCAGCAAACGTAACTGGTCCCGATCGTACAAACGTTAATGCACTTTGCTCACGTGTCCTGCTTATATAAGCACGTAATTTGGTCCTGCTGCTCTTGCTTGCACCAGTAAAATTACATACATGCATATACACACAAACTTCTCTACAGCTCAGCTTAGGGTGCAGTTACCAGTAAGGGCCAATTTCTGCTATCTTTGCTCACAGTGAGTGGTACCTTATTCAGCAAATGGAACTACTGGTTTCAGTGGGACCGTACAGGGCGTACGGTCCTATTCCGTTCGAATAAAAATGACAAGGTCTCATTCTAAATTGTCAGACCAAAGGCAGCTAAATCATGTTTTGTCTCCCTCTAACTGAAGCCCCTGATAATCAAGGCATACAGGTGCCTAACTAATGAAGTTGGAAGGGACCAGACACTTTTGAGGAATTAGGCTATGTTCCAGCTGATTAAAAATGATGCTTTCATAGAGCAAAAGACAAGCAGGGGTCTTAAATAGATTCTGACTTCACACTGGTAGGAATGCAAAACAACTTTGTTAATATTAGTGGAATTTTGCCAGGGTATACTAACGTGGGTTCAGAATGGGGCTCCACTCTGTGTTTATACTAAGTGATTGATTTCATCCCTTCTTCCAACAAGAAATAATGTTTTATTCTCAGAAACGCTTTGTTTCTGTCTTGCTTAAATTTTAGTTACTGTGATGTGGAATTAGTCTTTAAAAATCCACTCCTTGAGAAGTGCTGGGAAAGCTTCCTCTCCCACTAGCTTCAGGAGGGTGTACCAAGTTTCTCCCTGGCAGTAGTTTACAATTGTTTCTACTGTGTATGCGTGTGTGTGTGTGTGTGACTGTGTATGAAGTTATTTTTATATGAAGAATAGTGTGGTGTGGTCTCAAGTGCTGTACTTGTAGAAGTAAAACGAATGTTTGCACGTACTTAAATAATATATTTGTTATTTTAATGCCAAGGAAAGCACTGTTTCCAAGTCCAAATGTGAATTAAGATTCTTTAAGATGCTTTACTGTTTAAAGAACCTGTTAATTTTTCCAGTATGTGATTATAAATTTGTTTTATATGTATAAGTTGTTGCAAGTGTCATAAATAACATTTGTGTTTGCATTCATTCCCATGAATAGGTTTTTGCATAACTCTGGCACAGCATCTTGTCCAAATAAATATAATAGCTTTATCATGTATTTTTAGACAATTATTAGGATTGTCTTTTCTCTGCATCGCATCAAAAGTCAGATTATGGTTTTTCTTTTAGTATTTGGTGTTTACATGTTCAACAGTCAAACTGATTCTATACAATGAGCTTTATAATTAATTTTGCATTTTCCCTGCATTGCCAAGTCTCACCTATTTTACTGTAGAAAGCTGGGTTTAAGTGAACAAAAGGTAAATTATAAAATGTCTGGCTACTAAATATTTGCCTTCTGAAACAGTTAATTAAAAAACAGATTAATATCAAAATATAATATCATTGTGATGGCTAAAATATGGAAAAATTACTGCAAATTGAAACAATTTTGAAAAATAAAAGTAACTTATCAGAAAATAAATGCTTTTCATGAAATCCCTTTTGACCTGTCCAAAACAAAAAAGCAGCACTTTTACAAAGTGCTACCTTGAAAGTAGCCCTTGTCATTCCATTGAAACGCACATGTCCTGTGTCTGTTAGAGATGATAGTGTTCAGAGAAGGGCTACCTTTCACATTTCTCATCTGATACTGTATTTACTGCTTGATGTCATGTGCTGTTTTTGGCTTAATATTTGAATAAGGCCTCTTTGTTTGCAGTAAGTCCTGCCAATAATACACTGCCACAAGCATTTAAACTCTGTATTTTATAACAACAGCCTCAGTAATCTGTCCTTCTTAAAGTGTTAGGCAGTTCTTCATCAAGGGCACTGTGTAAATAGTGGCTTTCCAACTCCTGAGTTGTCCTCCTCAGCCAAAGTACAAATAGCAATTCAAACTGGCTCTCCCACAAAATACTTCAGGGCAGACATTTAGTGTCTGGAAACCCTGACAATCTTCCTTGTAATACACTGCTTCAGTGGACTAATGATCTGTAAAGAATGCTACAAAAATTACCATAATGTGCAAGTGCTTAGTCATTATTTACTGAATGACGCATAGAACCATAGAATAATTTGGGGTGGAAGGGACCTCCAGAGGTCACTTAGGCCAACCCCTGCAGGTCTAATTTGATCAGGCTGCGCAGGACCGCGCCCATTCGAGTTTTGAGCACAACCAAGGATGCAGATTGCATAACCTCTCTGGGCAACCAGCTGCAGTATTTGAAGCACCCCAGCTTCAGCTGAGGAAGAGGCCTCAGGCTCTGCTGGCCCACGCCAGGGCAGCAGCATCCTCCCCTAGAGCTCCAGCTGGGCGGACGTCCTTGCTGTGCTATGGTGCCCTCCCCCTCTCTTGAGACTAGCAGCCCACCACAGCACCTGGTGCCCATCAGGCAACTGACTGGTGGAGGCCATCGTGCCCCTGAACAGCAGCCGTCCAGACTGAAGCACTAAATAACATAGAGTTGCACCTAGCTGGGAGCAGTGGGAGGGTATTCACTGCTACATTCGCTTACAGCCTATGTAAGCTGCGATAGCTCCATTAAGCTTGGGGTTTTTTGCTGGCCGAGTAGAAGCAGACTATAGCCAACTTCTTGTTCCAAACAACAGGACAAATCCTGAACAGTTTTGTGCGCTCAAGGAAATAAATAGACTTTGCAAACAACCTGTTGCTCATCAAGAAGTGCAAACGTGCCCAGAATTGTCCAGAATAAGCAGACTGTGAGTGCCAACAATGGCAACAGCAAATCTGTGCAGTCTGAACAGATCAGTCACCATCAAGGTATTCTCTACCTAGGCCTATAATTAAGGAAGCTAAACAATACGAGGGGGGAACCAGAGAGACTCCAGGGAACCCACAGCCCTGCATCAGGATCCAGGTCATCTCTGGATTCCCAAAACGGCAAGGAAGCTGGACGAGGCAGAAACCACTACGTTAACTTGCCCAGCTTCTCTCCTGGATTGTGCCGCCTCTCCCACAGATCAGGGACGTCATGTAATTTGTAAAATTGCATGTGTCTGTGATTACCATATTTTGGTATCAAAATCCATTTAGTTTCCACACTGCAATTTGGTCTTAAACAGTGACACAGAGAAGGTGAGAAGAGCTGACAAAGATGCACTGAGTCTCAAAATGATATGAATGTCTGCATTTGCCACCAATCTGTGTCACAGGAGGAAAAGGAACACGAGACAATGTGACACTGCTAAGCTCAGCTCAGTCACTTAGTGGACCAAGCAAGGAATAGGCTGCGTCATAAAAAGCTTCGCCTACACACAAACACAGAGTTAACCGAGGCCTACCCCCAGTTATCGCTCAAGTGAGCCAATACAGTCAGGCCTAGGGGAATGCGACTCAGCCCCCCCCGACCAGCCTCAGAGCTGCGCTCTTGGACAGCAGCCCTCAACAGTGGGACAACGTGCGATAATCCCACCTCTACTACTCTGCTTCTATGTGGCGTTGGATGTCCACATACCAACGTTCTCCCACAAAAAAAAAAAGGAGGCGACCAATCAGAGCAGTCCATGATGACGCCATGGTACACTTTTCCAGCAGTTCCAGGTAACTGCTCTGTCAGCTGTTGATCCCTAGCCTGTACCAGAGCTCATTATACTCAGGTCTTGTTTGCACTGACCTGTCAGCCATGGCTCATTACATTTACTTTCTCAACTCTCGATCAAGGCAAGGTCATGACGCTCCCACGACAAGGGTGCATCACAGTTTGCCTGTAGAGTAAGTAAAGTAAGAAAATCAGACTTATGTTCGTCATAATACCTTATGCTGTCTGCCAAAGTACAACTGGTCTATGGTAGAGTCTCTCCAGACTGAGGAGCCAAAAAACCATTAAAATCTCACATGTGTAAATTCCCTTATAAAGAGAGACTTAATTAGTCTATTTATGTATGCATGACTCTCGTGTGTGTGTTTGATTTCTGGTAGCTCAAATTCTCCCATGCCTTGTAAAATAGACTGCTGTTACCAACATATGTATTAAACAGTAGTGTATAATAGTGTCATCTGTTGCTCCTAAGAGATGCAACTAGAACACTTTTTCGGAAATGCAATTGTTCAAACGCAGATGTAGCTGCTACTTAACTCAGGTAACTTTAAAAAGTAGTCATCTTCCGATAACTACTATAACATTTCTATGCCTTCTGCAATAGGCTCCACCCAGGATTTCCAAGCAACACACAGGTTCTTCCTTGGTGAATTCCTCTCTAAATATTTCAGCAATCATTAATCAACATTATTCTGAGGGTTAAGGCTGTAGCCAACAAACCAGATAGATCTGAGGGGATTATCAAACTACTGGAATGTAACTTTTTAACCTGCTGCTAGATCTAGGAATAGTGAAGCATATCCTACCTGATCCTTTGTGTATTTAAGATGCAGGCAATAAGGAGGAGAAGAGGGCTGCCTCAGAGAGCAGGCAAGTTTGTATGCTGTGCAGCTTTTGCCATTCGTCTTGCCATTTGTTCAAGTGTGCACATTGCAATTATTTAAAAGGCTGACCCTCGTTAGCCTTTCCAGTCTGACTGCTTCCCAGGTGCTGCTGTAGCCCTATTCTTCCGAGCAGGCTTTCTTCAGCCTCCATAGAGATCATCGACAGTTTTTGAAAGAGACAAAATCCTAAATGTAAATATTGTGACTGCTGACTATAAACATTTACTAAAATTTCCATCTTGTCATGACTGTTATGTGAACAGATTAAAAGCCTCACTCTAATTCACTGGGGGCCAGTGGCTGGATAACGTTTCGTTTTCAACATAGGCTTTAACGTCCAGGTCCCTGACCCCAGAGGGATATCAGATTTTAGAAGTTAAAAACGCAGCGAAGATGTTACATGTATTTAAACAGGTTTATTTGCGGTCTGATAGTTTGGCTTCCCCTTCTATCAAAAGTCTTTACATCTGCTGCTCCTTCCGATTCATTGTAAAACAGTAAAGCACCATGACCTCTGAGCACCTAGCAGATATTTTCCTATTTTAGCAATCTGCTTCTGCAACAGAGGAAGGTGTTTTATTAATAGAAAACTGCATTTTAAAAGATGACCAGATAGAGCCCAGTAAGGCATCTCTTCAGATAAGAGAAAGCAGAACAACTGAAAGAAAAGGCCTTGATGATATTCCTTTCTCCCATTGCAATTAAACAGCATACAAGTATGCTAAGGAGCAGCTGTTGTATGAAGCAAGACAGAGCACAGTTACAGCAAATCAAATCCTTAAGACAGGCTAAATAATGCTTTCCTTAGCACTGAGTAGTAGCAGTGCCAACCACAACAATTTTAAAGTCTGAAAACAGTTCAGAATCTACGAAAATCCCAAGTCAAGAAGGCAGGATCCATATCCTTTCTCTCCAGTAAGAGAGCCACACATATGAAACTTTACATTGTTCTGTATCATACCTGCAGATAGCTATGGTGGAGAAGAATTCACATCCCTTATTGGCCTGTCTTTGAAACCTTACACTTTGGTCCAAAAGAAATCATCACTATCAGTCCTGCTGGAGCAAAATAAATAGCATGTTACAGACTATTAAGTACAGCAGTTCTCTTCAGTCCCCTTCTTTAATAGATCTGCTAAACCCTTCCTCAGCCACCTTCTCTCCTTGATTAACAGGGGGGAAGGACTACTTAAGATGCTGCATCAATCCCACAGGTGCCCGAGATCCCAAATTCTACCTTTGCTACCCATACCACAGAGCAACAGTTGTCCTGCCATTGTAGGACTTTAGGGATATGAAGAGCTGTTACACAAGGGCTTCACACACACAACACAGTTCCAAAAAGGGCACCTCAACTTATTCTTTAGGTATAAAAATAGGAGAGGAAATGAGAGCTTCTCAGTCACATTTTAAAAAAATGTAAAAAAAAAAGCTCCTTCTCCTGTTTGAAGAGCTCTTCCTTCATTTACTGTATTTCATAACACCAGAATCTAGCACTAGTCCAGAAAAAATTCAGATCATCTTGCAAGCTTTATTAGCACATAATATGCAATTGGATAGATCATTGTCTAACTTGTGACTATACTAAAGCCTTTTTTAATATCATTTTTTGAAAAATCGTCAAGTAACTTGCCCATTATTAATGTGTGTATTACAATAGCACCCAGAGACCCACTAAAGACAAACTCCATAAGGCTGGATGCTTTAGACACAGGCAGGAAAACGTCCTTACTCTGCAGAGCTTACAATCTAAGAAAGCTTCGTAGATGCTTACAGTAACAAGCACTTTCAAATGTTTATTAGTCAACATGATACGGTGCATTTTAGGTACAGTAATATATCTCTGTGTTTGGGACCCAATGAAAGTAAAAGGGAGTCTTCCAAAGACTTTAGTGAGCTTCAGAATAGATCCAAAACACTTAAGATAAATATTCAGATTTGGTGGCCGGGCTCACACACGTATCGCTTCACTCAACAGGTTTAATCTTCCTCAGTAGCAAGATAGTTAAGGAAGAATCAATTCATTAAATGGTTGGTGAACAACATTACAGCCAAGAGTCCCAACAGGTTCTAGTGAACTCAGCTGACTCAAGGCTTAAACACATGACGCACAACACTTCTAGGGAGTGCAATTTTCAGAAGTTACTAAAACTTCACTCTCTGCAATTCAGCTATGGTATCACAGGACACATTCCCAAACCCTGAGGCACCACAAAAATGTATCTGTACTAATTTTTCTGTGCACTATGAGCTATAACCACAAGTGTCACTTGCTTGTCTTTTTAGGAAAAAAAGGGAACATTATTCTGAAGAGCCAAAAACAATCTCTAAAAACTCCAGGTACTGACATATACCATCATGCAGGAAGGAAAAAGAACGAAGGTAGCAGCTAACTATAGCTGTTTTGGCTGAAGCTATGACTCTGCGTGGAGTTTTTTTTTTGGATGTTCCTCATGTTCCCCACCCCCACGCTGCTGTTGGTAATGCTGGTGCAATCTGGACCCACTGGCTCCCCCGATTCCTTCTGCAGCTGGAAAATGTCCATTGGACATATTGAGTATAATGGAGGTCAAGGATTTAATGTAATTTTTGGCCAGTGTTAGAGTCTCTATTTTGGAAAGTTTATTCTCCGCTCTCACATGGGGGATCACCTCCCGCAAGGCCTGGAAAGCATTGTTGAGCTTGTGCATTCTCTGCCTCTCACGTTCATTGCTTTCCAGTCTCCTCAGCTGTCTGTCTGTATTGCTCCAAGCACGCTTGGTTTTGGCTGCAGTAATCTTGCTGCTCTCCTTGCTTCCCCCGTTCCTCCTTTCTCTGTGTCGCAAGCGTTTCACCAGTTCTTTTTTTCTCATCACTGACTCCTCAGAAAACGCTTCTTCCTCAACAGTAAGCCTTTGCTTCTTTCCTTTGTTTTTAGTCTTCATGTCTCCATTGACATTCCAGCCTGGTCACCCTTAAACGAATCTTCTGGTACTGAGCATCAATATGCTGTAAAAACATGACACCAGGATCTTTAACTGTTGCACAGTTCCATACTAAACAAATGCTCGGGAAACAAGTTTTGAGATGTTTGTTTACTTGCTCAGTACTGGAAAACCATCATCAGCTGTTTGAATTCAATGATGTTCGTTACAGGGGTTGTGAATGCCGCTGGTCAAGATGACCTGTGCAGATGAACACAGGAGAAAATCCTTTTTTAGAGAACAACAAACACTCCTTCCATTGGAAGGAAGGGGTTACAGAGGGAGCAGGGGCCACATTAACTGAATCACTGAGGCAAAGGTGCAGTGAACATCCGCTGCTGCTATATTTGGGTACAGAAAGCCAAACGAAAAACAGATCTCTCATAAGTATGCCACAAACTGGAAAGACCTCTCTTCTCTAAGAAAATGGTCTCCAAGCTCATCCAGCCCTGACCCTCCATTTCCATGTCTACTAGTCCATTTACATTGAAGCCAAATCAGTTTTTGCAGAGTGCAACTGGATTTAAAACCAGTAGCTCCATTTCATGTAACAAATGGATGGTACGTTCAAATAGCGCTGAAGTCACTGGGTAATCACTGTGCTAACATCATTGCTGGAACCATCCTCACACAGTAGAAATACTGGCCAAATTCTCCTCTCAGCTGCAATGCTCTCATTAGTTTACATGCAAGGAGGATGTAGGCAGCCATGACACGTGGGAAAAAAAAAAAACCCCACTGATAACAACTACATAAGCCTGTCATACTAAAACAAGATCTGCCCTCACAGAAAACAGGACAGGTATTTAAAAAACAGGCTAAGATGCTGCTTGTCCAATTTACAGACCTCAATGAGCAGAAAAAAATGAGAGTGAATGAGTAAAATGGTCCATTAGGTTGATAACACAGTGCCTCTGTTTTTTGATCTCAGCTGTTTCTCTTTTCTCCCAGCTCGAATTACCACAAGTCGTAATAAAACCACACTCTGCATCATCACACGCACACAGACATAGATAGGAGCGTTAGACAAAAGCCTCAGTCTCTGACTGAAAAAGTAACTTCTCCTTGAGCTCCTGGTAATCCGCTTTTTGTGGGAAGAGGTTTCCACTGCGTATATGAGCAGTCCACTAGAGGGAAACATGACTCACAAACTCACATAGCAGCTCTGGCGCTTCTCTTACATAACACGTTTTCTCCCACACTATCTTTGCCGTCTGGTCTAGCCCCCAGCATACACATGCTTCTCTGTCGCTTTTTGCGCACAGCCTATTTCCCTCTCAGCTAAGCAAAGGAGAAAGGAAAGCAGGAAGACCAGCTCCTGCCAGGAGATTAGCAGTCCTCAGCTAAAGATTTTTTTCTTCTCTACCCACGCCCCTTCAATCCACAGCTTACTGTCTTTGCCTTATCATTTACTTTCACGTCCCAAGCTCGAGTGCCAGCTGTGTCGGTTGTGGATAGCTCACGCAGCTCTTCCTTGGTGGTGGTCTTCCCAGCTCTCTCCGTTCTGCTTGCTGAGGCTGATACACAGGTGGGAGAAAGTCCAAGGATTAATTACAGCTAGAAGAAAGCAGTCAATTTTAAAGTAAAGGTGTCGCCCCAGGTACAGCAAGGGGATAGAGCGGAAGCAGACCAAGCATTCGGACGCAGCATTAACGGGGGGTTCATTATGCACTCAAAAGTAGCATCTTGCCCTTATGATACGATGGAAAGCTGCTGGGAGCAAGACTTCCCTCTTTCACCAATAATCGCACAATGGTGGGGTATAATTGCAGTTTCTGCCCCAGTATGGCAGCAGCAGAGCAGTGTTTATACTCCAGTTTAACCAAAAAGACACAGCAACACTCCTTCTTCGGGTGCTAACACGGCAGATGATGGCAGTGAAGTTTTACCCTCCCGCCAAGCCCAGAGGCTGTGCCAGCGCTAGGTTTGAAGCAGCAGCCTCACAGCAACCCTTCCTCTAGCACCGATGATCAGCATTACCGAGACTCCATGTATTTCCAAAACGCTTCTGCTTCCTTCCAGTCCGCCTACGCGCAGAAGCTTAAGACTGAAGCGAGCTGTTCTTGGGTAACCACCACTTCCGTCTCCTTCCTTCAGGGTGTCTTCAGCTGCTCTGCTCTCACGACTCAGCTCGCTGCCCGCGCCGGCTGCCCTGGCCGCTCTCGCTGTTCCCAACTGCCGGGATTCAGCTTCGCCAGAAAAGGGTGGGAATTCACCCAGAGGTCTGGTTTGGGCGCCAGAGGGAGGCGGCTCCGAAGAGCCTGTTGGGGACGCCCAGACGACACTCCGGTATCTTGAGCTGGAAAACGGGACCAGAGCCAAGCACGAGGGTTTACTCTGGACTGCCCGGCGGTCTAGCTCGCTGGGCGGAGAAGGCACAACTGAAGGACGGAGAAGCAAAGGCAGGTGCAAAGATGGGCCGCT